GGGGTTCAAATCTGGGTTCATCATTTCCTCGCTGTGATTTGAGACACAGTCATCACCTCTGTGCCTCCACGTTCCCCTCTGTGGTGCCGGTGCAGTGCCTACCTAGGAGTGTTAGAGAATAAGAGTCCCAGGACATGGTGGGAGCTCAGTGTTCCTGTCCCTCAATTTCCTTTTATAAGTTAAATTACCATCCCTACCATTTCTGCCTCCCACTGCTTGAGGAGCAAAATGAGGCAGGATTTGTGATATTGCTCTGAAAATTGAACAGCACCAGCACCATGCAAACAGGAGAGATTATTATGCAGATGGTTGTATGTTGAGTGCTCCCGTCACATGAGAGTCCTATGATGCTTCTTCCCTGTGCTGTGAAGGTTTTATCTCCTAAGCACTAAGTGCTAAATTCCCCCTCCCACGCCCACCGCCACTGTCCTCACGGATCCTTGCAGCAGCTTCCCAATCGGTCTCTCTGTCTCCAGCCTCACCACCCCCAACTCTCCTCCACCTAGAAGCTAGAGTGGTGTTCCCAAAAAAGGAAATGTATTTACAGTCAGTCTGTCTCTTGCCAAATTGTAATTTCTGATGGAAGGGGCTTTCTGGGTGTTATTTGCCCATGTGAGCCTGCCTCTAGCGTGGAGCCTGGCACAGGGATGGTTCAGCATATGTCTGTTTAGTGCCCGGTTATGGATGCAGCCTGCAAGGTTCCTCTGGCCTATTGCAGCTTCTGTGTCCTGGTTCTGCAGGTGGCATTCTGGAGCGCTCTCCAGCTGGGGCAGACCATGAGCTTCAGAAAGTTCACTTCAAAAGGGTGCCCCTGGCCAATGATGAAGAGCACAGGCCCGGAAATCAGACCTGGGGCTCTGAATGCCTTCCCCAGCTCTCACCAACCAACTGTCAATTCTGTGCCTCAGTTCCTTGTCTGTAAAATGAGAATAATAATGCCTGCTGATAGGGTCATTATTTGTATCAAATAGCTGAGAATACTGCCTGAAATGTTCCTTGCCAACCCACATTATTTTGGAACCAGTCTCATTTCATCCATAAATATGGCAGCATATGTCTCCCCTAGATAAGGGTTCTCTCACACACAATACCACTATCACACCAAAAATATTAACAATAATTCTGTAATATCATCCAACCAGTGTTCAAATTTCTCTAATTGCCTCACAAACAACTTTGTCATTTTGTTCAGATCAGGACTCAAACAAGGTCCATCTATTGCAATAGACTGATAGGGGTGCTGGGATTCTTTTGATCTATACAGCAAGGGCTGGCAGATTTTCACTGAAAAGGGTTAGATAGCAAGTATTTTAGTCTTTGTGGGCCATTCAGTCTTTGTTGCTATGTCTTAAATGGGTATGGCTGTGTTTCAATAAAACTTTATTTATAAAAGCAGGCAGTGGGCCAGATTTGGCCCCAAGGAGGCAGATTACTGACGTATGATGTACAAGCTTGTTCAGATTCAGGGCTTTTTTTTTTTTTTTTTTTTTTTTTTTTTTTTTTTTTTTTTTTTTCTCTCTATAACATGTCATGGGTTGGTAGCATTGTAGATTTCCATCAGGAAGCTTAGAATGTCAGGGTGTTTCTCTTTCCCTCACTCTCTAATATTTCATCAGCCATGTACATTCTGTGTCTAGATCCATTAATTATTAAGGAAAGCAGAATGGCAACATTCTAATTCTATTGTCCCTTCTTCATTTATTAGCTGCAATACTTCTACAAAGAGAAACTCTCCGTCAACTATTTGCTTATACGGAGGTATAGTTTATACAGGAAAGTCAAGATAATAAATGCTTGATTCCTTTCCTTTTTTTCCAGCTTTTAAAAATAATGAGTTGGGCTTCTAAGCATTCTTCAAAGATAATCAATGTAGTTTTAAAAAGAACATTATGAGCAAATAGATTTCAACATAATTGAAGCGTTCTGAGGCATTGTAGTTTCTGCCTTTAATGATGTTTAAATTGTCTCAGTTTTGCCCTAGCTTATGACAGGACCTCAGAAGTCTTTGATAACATCCTTGCTTTCTGGTAGGATGAGATATTCTGGGGTTATCTTATTCAGTTTATGAAATCATCCTTCTCCAAAAAGCCCTGGTTCTCTCTGGAGGGAAGTGATATTTAGTAACCCTAATTTGTTACTAAGGATACTCATTGTTTCCAGAACTTTTTAGTAGCTATATCAAAGGATCATTTTTTTTTTTCAAAGGCCTCAGAAATATATACTGAAAGTTCTGAATCAATTCAGGACCACAGCTGGGGCCTCTACGGGAAAGGTAAGTATGTGGGAGGTAAGAACCCCAATGATCAAAGCTGTTTGGGTTCCTTGGCCCAGCCTGATCAAACTTCTGGATGACATCAAAGAGGTCTGCCTGACCTAAGGATCGTTGTTCTTTAAAAGAAAAACACGTTCATTAATCTTATGGGCAGCCTCGGGGCTAGGATATAAAGTTAATCAATGACAAGTGACTCCCTTCCACCAAAAGGACTATGTGCAAACAGGCATGCAAGGAGGAAGCAAGACCACGATAAAGGAAAACAAGTAAAACAAACGCCTTATGATTCATCTACCATAGGCTCGGTTACAATTGCAGGTATAAAAGAAACTCGGAGCTTAGCAGTGAGACAACAAACCAGTGGAACATGGATGGTGACTCTTTCTGGCTGAGTGCCACACGTCGCTACCAGGAATCCTCCATTAGTCCTTTGGGCTAAGGGATGAGATCCTTCTTCACCCTCCACTGTCCCGGGACATGCTTAACAGTCATATTTGTTCTTCCCAAGGAGAGAGGCCCATCTAATTGCAGGGCTTTTGTTTTCCTGGTTGGACTCAGGAAGCCTGTGGCTGAAAACGAAGCTGCTGAAGGAGGCTGTAAGGAGAAGGGGAGGAGGCGGAGGCTCTGGTGCATTAGGAAGACCAGGGCAGTGTCCCATGTCCTCTGATGTTCGGGATGAGGTCAGGGAGGGCATATCTCATCTTCTCCTTTCTCCCCGCTACATCGCTCACCCATATGATGGGAAGGGATTCTCAGGGTAGAGCTTTAAGGTGGATTCAGGTTGATATGATTTAAAAATCAATGCTGTTCCATGAGAGGGCTGCCACTTACCATTTCAGTTCAAACACCTGTAAAGTAAAATTACCGTCTCCCAAATCTACCCAGCACTATAGTGCTGAATAAGGATCGTGCTCTAAAACCATTCATGGAAACAGAGACAACCGAGAAGACAGTCACCCAATGCTGTCCCTTCCGCTTGCATTATTCTCTGACAAGACAGGTCTGCCGACCATTGATGCCTCTGTGCTCCTCCATCCCTGGATCTTTATGCATCCTTTCCCCTCCAAACTCAAACCGTCCCTCTTGAAATGAAAAGCTCAGGAATATTCACCCTAGACTGAGACAGGAATTTCAAGTACGAACCTTAATTAGACTTGATTTTTTAAAAATTTCCCCTGTGGCTTTTAATTATTAGAGAGAGCAAATGTCTCTAGTACTGAACTTATATGTCCCATAGCCTCTTTATCAATGGCCCTAATACATTTCATGTGCTTTTCAGAAAGATTATATTCTTCCCAGAGCTGTCTGAATGTCTTTTTGAACCCCTCAAGACTGGACACCAAGGAGTATAATCTTTTTTTTTTTTTTTTTTTTAAATCACACTTCCTCTACAACCTTGAATCTGAAACGTGAATATATGAATAGAATGGCTGTGGAATAACTATGCAAATTTATGGAGAATATCAATTTAAGTTATACCATGGGATCCAGCTATGTCTTTCTTCATGGAGCCGAGGATTTGTTAAAGTTGAGATATAGTTTGGGGGATGTGTGATTTCTAGCTAAAGTCATCTGAAAATCAATACAGTTGAAGATCTCTGACATAAAGTCCCTTGCAGAGCTCGATGTGATTCTAAAATTGGGAACACAGGAATAAAAATCAAATCTTGAGTAGAAGTAGCTGAAAATTGCAGTGAGTTGGGGAAGCTTGGCGGCTAACTCCCCACTGTTTGAAGATGGGCTTGTTTGTTTTTAAAACAGCCAACATAATTCAGCTGGAGGAGGTAGAAAGATTTTTCTATTCCTTGTCTCTGTAGAAATCGATGGTCTTTAGCTTGTGTAATTGTCTCCCCTGCCTTTAGTATCTAAAATAAAATAACCCTCGTTGCTTGCATTACTGAACCCATTTCTGCGTCTTAATGTCTATGGCTAAACGAGTATTAATTAGATAGTCCGCGGAGAGCTGGGCGGGGAAGGGAGGGGAGGTGAGGCAGAGGGGCAGGGATGGCAGCAGGGTGGACTCGCGGCCCTGATTTGGGATCCCGACAGCAACTTCCTAGGTGGCCTGAGGACTCCAGTGCCAAGGGAGAGGGCGGGTCCCAGCAGCATCTGACCTGCCATACGGACAGGGGCGCTGCGGAGGGCACGAAGGGGGCGGGGGTAGGGTAGGGATGGTTCAGGGGAATCCCAGGTTCGAAGCTATCCCAGGTTCGAAGCCAGCTGCGGGCAACAGAGAGGGGAAGGGGACCACCCGGGCTGGGGCCAGCCGCCAGCAGCAGCCACGCCCCCCACCTCCCCCAGGATTTTTAGGGACTAGTCTCCAAAGCTCTCGCATCCTCCCTCCGCCTCCTTCCACCCCCCACCCTCCCAGCCCCCACTCAGACCTCTTTAAACCCACCCAGGGGCCGCCGCAGGATGAGGCCGGGGAACGGGCAGGACCTGGGGCGGGGGCTGGTGGGGCAACGCACGGGAAACGCCTCGAAAGCCGCCGGACCCGGCGGCTGAAGTGAAGCGGAGGCGCTTGGCGAGGGGAGGCTCGCAGCTCCTTCCCGATCCGGCGCTCCCCTCGTTCACCCCCGAGTCAGCCGCGGCGGGGCGAGGAGACCCCCGCGGACAGCCACGCGCGCGGGGCCGGGGCGCTACTTAAGGCCCTCGCTGCCCCTTTAAGGGTTCTCGAAACTTTCCCCCCTGGTATCAGATGAGCCTCGTCACATCCGTTGGCCGCGGCCGCCGGGGCGCGTTCCGAGGAAATTCGGGACTCCAGTTTCCCGGGGAAGAGGCGCGGCCGCAGCCCGGCGAGGGTGCGCAGGGCGGGCGCAGGTGGACCCCGGCGGCCCCGGCGCGCAGCTGTGACCTTGGCCGCGGGGGAGGGGCCGGGCCGCTGCGGGGCAGCCGCGGCCGCCAGAGGGGGCAGCGGAGAAGAACTTGCCCAACTTGGCGGCGCGGGCTGGGGCGGCTCCGCGCCTCCGCGCCCGCCTCCCCGGCCTCCGCCTTCTCCTCGCCCGCGAGCCTCCTCCCCTGGGCCCTCCTCCCGTCCTCCCGTCCTCCCCGCCGCCGCCGCCGCCGCCGCCGCCGGTCCCGGTGCGCGCCCATCCCTGCCCGCAGCCCCGCGCACCGGTCGAGTCGCTGAGCCGCGGCCGCCGGACGGGACGGGACGGGTTGGGCCGGGCGCGCCCCCCGGGCCCCGTCGTGGGCATGGGCGCGCTGGCCCGGGCGCTGCTGCTGCCTCTGCTGGCCCAGTGGCTCCTGCGCGCCGCCCCGGAGCTGGCCCCCGCGCCCTTCACGCTGCCCCTCCGGGTGGCCACGGCCACGAACCGCGCTGCTGCGCCCACCTCGGGACCCGGGACCCCCGCCGAGCGCCGCGCGGACGGCCTGGCGCTCGCCCTGGAGCCCGCCCTGGAGTCCGCCGCGGGCTCCGCCAACTTCTTGGCCATGGTGGACAACCTGCAGGGGGACTCTGGCCGCGGCTACTACCTGGAGATGCTGATCGGGACCCCCCCGCAGAAGGTAAGCTCCACGCCCTGGCGACTCGCGGCTTAGCATCGCCCCAAAGCAGCAGCTGTCCCCGCAGGGAAGAGCTGGGAACGCAAAGGGGCTCGGGTGGGCGGGGGAGCGGGGGCGCTCGCTCTTGGGTCGCGGAGGACGGCGGCCCCCGCCCGGGGCGCACGGAGGGGTGTGCGCCAGTGTTTGAGAACTTGTGAGCTCCCCCTCCGCGGGGCTGGGCGGGAGAGGAGACCTGGAACTTGCCGCCTCCAGTAACGTGATTTCCTTCTTGCGGGCGACACCTACTTCCAGCGGGAGACTGAGCGGTGGGCCTCGGGCGACGGGCTGTTAGGGGAAAATCACCTCGTCTTCAGACTCTCCCTCCCCCCGCCCGCCCCCCTATGCTGTCTCATTGCTGAAGAAGCTCGTGGCGGGCTTCCAAAGGCGCAGTACCCTTTAGAAGGGATTTATGCATGAGCTCAGCTAAAAGCAACCCGGTTCTGAAGTGGCTTGCTTGCTGCTCGTGCGAGGAGCAGCGTTCCCCCTGCGCCAGCGTTCCCTTCTCTGAGTTGGTTTGGCAGCTGCGTCCTCGCTCGTCCCGCGGCCCTGCCCCTCTGCACGGAGCGATGCGTCTACACGCGGTTGTACAGAAAGTGTACAATGCAGTCCAGCTACCGGGAAAAAAATACGAGCTAAGTGAGGTGTCCGGGGACCAAGTGGTATCCCGATTACAGAACAAAAATATAAAACCAAGCAGTATTCTTTTTCTCTTACTCTGATGTTCATTTACGAACACTTTTTTGTAGCAAGAAACAAATGTTCCCAAGCACAGTAATCTTAAATTAAAAAAAAAAAAAAAATCCAATTGATCTGCTCCCTTTCCTACTTTCAACCTATCTGGTGCAAGTGGGATTTGAAGTCATTTGCTCAACTGAATGCACAGTTTGAAGATACTTTATTTTTATTTTTAACATTGTCATTTGGGTTTTAATTTAGCTATGATTCTCCCATAAATAGAACATACTCATGACTTTTTGTATAATTCTCATTAAATTATTCAAGACTTTAAGAGGAAAGACATGCCATGCTAATTCTTTTTTAAAAAGAAACTGCTGAATAACTTCTGTAGTTGTTTAATTAGTTTGCGGGGGGCGGGGGAGGGGGAACCCCTTCAGAAGCGTATTCTGCTCAAACTTTGATTCTAGTTGCCTTTCATCTAAGTCATGGGAAGCCACGTGAATGATCTTTCCCATCTCCGGGAGTGGATGGTTGGAGGGAGGGAATGGGAATCCCATCAGCTGAGGGAGCTTAACTCGGCCTTAATATGTGGTCTTGGTGCAGCCACCACGTGGGAACATGCGCCTGGTGCTGAGAACCTTGTAAATATCACAGGATATTGAGGAAGAACTTCTTCGGTGACCTACAGAGAATCTTTGGAACAGGCCTTGCATGACTCCCCATTTGAGATGTATGCTTTGATGTGAGGGAATTGCCTCTACTAAAACTAAATTTGGGTAGTCCGAGGGCTGTTCTAAGCCCGGAAACCCTGTCTCCAGAGGAAACGGGGAAGGAAGAAGCCTGAAGAAGGACTGAAAAATACTTACCTTGGGCAATAAAAAACAAAACAAAACAAAAAAAAACCAGCTTTTATAAATAATAGCTTGCCTTTGTTAATTCATTCAATGACCTTTACTTTAAAATGAGGTTTAATTAATTTAATTAATAGAAATGTGTTGAGTACCTAGGCTCCTGTCTTTACCACAGCCAAGGCAGCAGTTTGTTCAAGATTACTTCTCAAGCATTAGCATGTTTCCAGGGAGGGCTACTTTCAGAGAAGGGTTTAATTTTTACATGTGATGGGGGATGAAATATCCCATACCTCCTTCCTGGCTTGATTTAGCAATAAGCCGTTTTATAGCAAAATCTTTCCAAATGCCTACTGTAAACTCAGGCTTTACTGACTACTGCATTAAGATTCACTGCCTGCCTGTGCTGCCGTGAAATGTCTCTGACCACTAGCAGGGTGTCGTTGGCCAGCTAGAGGGGCCAGCAGTGAGGTGGCTTCGGAACCTGGAGTGAGCTTTCCTGCTTTATTAATGGCCAGGAGTCATGCGTTTATTCTCTGCTGATTCTCCGACGCCTAAAATAAAAATTGCTTAGGTGGAGAGAAAAAAATGGAATTGTAAATTCAAGCGATAAGTAACCAAGAATTTTTCAAGAATTAAGTAATAGTCATACGCAATGTCTGAAAGCTCAGTGACAGGCACTGTGCTGTGTGCTTTAGGGGTGCTTTCCCCAGGAATCTCCGCCACCCACCACCCCTCAGGGTTCTTATATGCATCTGGGGATGGGAAAACTGAAGCTTGGAGAGACTGAGTGACTTTCCAGAGCAAGAAAAAGGGAGGGCCAAAAATGGAACCCAGGGAGCTGAACTTCAGAAGCCAAATTCTGGACCCCTAGGCAGATAATGACTTCCTTCCCTTCATACCTCCTGATCTCTTTGGTATTGGCCTCCAACTACCCTTTCTAGCCAGAGAACCCTGAACTTATACCCCAAGGTGTTAGGAACTTTATGACTGCAACTGGATCCTCCCACACTCCCTGCTGTTCCCCATCTCCTCCGTCCTTGGGCCCTGCTGAATGAGCTACGGGATGAAGAGCTGGATCCAGGTGTGCATGGGAGAGACCTTGAGAGGAGAGGGTCAACAGTAACCACAGCTCTCCGGCTTCCCCTCTCCCAAGGGAAAGTCAACTGCTGGAAGCATGCTTTTGTTCCCTGAACGCTTTAATCAGGAGCTGGAGGTCCAGTGTTTGCCCAGTGACTCTGTGAGGAGTCACCATGTGCCCAGAAGCCTGTGTGAGAGCTGCAGGACCCGTGTGCTGGCGGGCAGGGCCACGTTGGCATGGAGATGACTGCCAGGTTTGTGGCTGATCCCATTATATGGCCTCTTTCGAACAGTAGAACTTTTGAACAGTTCTTTCAACCAGCATCTGCTTGAACTGTGCAATTTGATCTTATTAATAATAATAACAGTGTTCTAAAGTGATTATAATTACAGCAATTTCCATTATTAAAAAAAGAGACTTTCATGCTAACACAATAACTCCAACTGAAGATAGGAAAAGGTGTGCAGCTATATACCTTGTAGTAGCTTTAAAAAAGCTTTTGGGTTTTTTTTTCCCCCCAGAAAGATTTTCTGTCATCTCCACTAAGATGAGTAAAGCAGACTGCAAAACTATTCTCATACCTGAGCACTTGAAAGTAAAGGAGCACCTAATTATTTTGGCAAATCCTATTTTAATCATAGTGCATCCGCTTGATTCTCAGCCTCTTAGTATGAACTTATTTGGAAAACTTGGATTGAAAATATGGACTGAGCATATGCAAATAAGAGTTTGTTCTTTGGAAGAAGCCATCCAGGCTCCCCAAATTAAGCTGACTGCAGGTGAGGCAGAAGATAAGGAAGCAGTCCCAGCAAGAAGAAATCTGATGGAACCACTTGAAATGGTAAACTATTTAAGACAATGAAATAAAACGATTACTGAGGTTGAAAGAACAAGAAAGTCAAAGCCAGTTTGCCACCAGCAACTTTGAGTGAGAAGTGGCAGCTCCTGGGCTTTAGAGAAAGAATTCATCAAAGGCTGTATTACAGAGGACTAGGAAAGGTGAGCCAAGAAATCAGCTTGAAACAACAAGGCGGGACAGGAGTCTGAGAAATGGTTTATAAGATTAAGAGCTGACCTTGATCTCTTGCTGATTGAGTGTTGGGCACTCAAAGGGCATGTGAAACCCTTTGTGTGGCTCACCTCATTTTATCCTTGCAATGGTCCTGGAAAATGTGCACAATATGACTTAATTTTCAGATGGGGTAACTGAGGCTCAGGGGGCCACACTGGTGAAGGCAAGGTGGGGCAGGGTTGTCAATCTGGGTTTGCCCAGCTCAAAGTCTTTCCACTTCACTGCAGTTCCTCCTTAGGTGCAGTGTTTTAGTTTAGTAACTTTTTAAGAAGAACCATCTTCTTGCTTCTGGAGTTGATGTGGTTTGCTGGAAGCATCCTGGCCTGATTACAGGTCCGAAACACTGTAGTGTCACACCTGAGACCAGGGGCAAGTGAGGCACCTCCCTCGGCTTCCTTTTCCTCAGCTGTGGATAATCTAAGTTCTGCATTAGTGTCCTGGTCTTACAACAATAGAAACTTGTTCCCACAGTTCTACGGGCTAGAGTTGGAAAATCAAGGTATCATCAGAAACACTGTCCCTCCAGAGGCTCTTGGAGAGGATACTTCCTTCCCTCCTCTTAGTGTCTGCTGGCTGCTGTCATTCCTTGGCCCTCGGCCACATCACTCCAGTCTACCAACTCTGTGTAAATCTCTGTGGCCCAATTCCTCTCTTCTTATAAGATGCCAGTCATTAGATTCGGGCCTGACCTCCTCTAACCTGACCTCATCTTTAGTTGATCACGTCTGCATAGACCCACTTTCTGAATAAGGTCACGTTCACACATACCAGAGTTAAGTCTTCAACACATCTTTTTGGGGGAACATGATTTAATCCACAACAGGTTCATTTGAGGTTTTTCATTCCATGGATTTTTTTTTTCTTTGATTCCACCTTACCTTTTAATTGTTAATAATTTCAATTTGGGATTCAAGTGTAACTTTTATTATAGACAATAAACAAATGATGATTTCAGTGTTGTATTAACATGAAGCCTGTGGTAAGACAGTGCCCTGGGGCCTGGGTGAGAGAAGGGAGGAGGGAGGCTTTCTACTTCTTTTATGTACTTCTGTGTTGTTTTCCTACTAGAGAGTAATTGCTTAAAAATTTGAAACGTCGGGCTGAGTGTGGTGGCTCATGCCTGTAATCCCCGCACTTTGGGAGGCTGAATCAGGAGGATCACCTGAGGTTATGAGTTTGAGACCAGCCTGGCCAACATGGTGAAACCCCATCTCTACTGAAAATACAAAAATTATCCAGGCATAGTGGCTCACACTTGTAGATCCAACTACTAGGGAGGCTGAGG